ACACTCTTCCTCCATTGTCCACACATGTCAGGATGCACCTTACTTCTCATCCACCCCATTCTACTTATATGTGGTGTCATATACAGAAAATCTATCTCTAGAGGTAGAATAAGAAGTTTGATAGAAGAAAGGGTGGAAGGGAAGGTTGACATGGAAACTGACTGATTCAGAATATAGTTCTCACGTAAAAGGGGATGACTACCTGTTTTCAAATAAATTAAGAGAGTGAGTCAAAGCTTTCTCCTTTTTGTTCTTATATCTATGATTTTCTTTGGGGGTCTATCCTAGACTTTCTTCTCTTTTTAATGTCTACTCTCTGTCTTTTAGCATTTGTTTATTCATTTGGTCTTACTGTCACGTATATCTCAATGACTCAAATATTTTTTCTTTAGTACCAACTTCTTTCATGAACTCTATACCTATATATCCAACTATCTAACAGATAATTCTCTCTGGATGTCTCTTAAATAAAACTCAGTATGTCCAAATATAAATGCATCTTCTAGTCTCCCCATAGCCCCACCCCAGTCTACGCCTTCCAGTATTCCCTATCTCAATGGACAGCATCACATTTTCCCATCCATCCAGTAAAAGCCCAAGACTCATTCTGGATTTCTCCTTCCTCATTCCTCACCCAATTGAACACCATATTCTGTAGATACTCCTTTTGAATATTTCTTGTAACCAACCCCTCTTTCTATCCCCAGTGCTTGCTCTCTAAAATAAAACCCTTATTAGATTTTGCCTGGACCTCTGCAATATTTTTAAAATATAATAAGCACTAAATAAGCATTTTAAAATAACTGAATATATAAATATGGACCTAAAGGTTGTTGAAAATATCAAGGTTTCTTTGATTTTTACACAAATGGTTGTCTGCTGTATCCTCTATTGATGCAACTGGGCTTTTTGGAGCTAAACTTTATATTTCTCAGTTAAAGTTCATTAGAATAGCTTTGTTCAGTTTTTCGACATTATTGTTACACTATCGTTCCTCATATTCACTCTCTTTCCCAACTTTATGTCAGCTCCACATTTTATAATTTTACCATGTACTTCTTTATTCCAGACTTTGAAATAAATGTCGGTCAGGAAAAGGCCAAGGACAGAGATCTAACAATAGGCCAAGGATATTTTACTTTAATCTCACATTTAGAATTGTTCACTTGCAGAAAACTAATCTGATACAGGACAAATTTTTCTCTCTTGTCCATAGAAATATCATGTAATTTTTCTTAAATGTCTTATTTAAACCATTATAAACTGTGGCTATAATATTCATTAATCTACAATTTCAGTGATCCTATGAAAACATAAATATTTTGAGAAAATACATTCTTAGGAAATATTTGATGGAGTAAATACAACTTTAATTTCTTTTAAAAATATTATTAAACTACAAAATCAATTTTAAAACCTAAAAATGTTTAGAAAGTAAATAACAGGAATAATGTATAACACTACAGCTATTTTAAAATAATTTTAATTATAGAGTATTTTGTTAAATTTTGAGAAACATACTTTATATAGTTAGTAGTGTACATTTAATTTATAGCCACCTTTTAAGTTTATCCTGCCTGTTTTCTAAGATTGTCTCATTTTATATACTTCACATAGATTTTATATTATTCTATCCCATGACTAATTCATAAATTTTAAACATACCCAAATTATTGGATCTTTGGACTGCATTCAAATTTTGAATTATATATAATGATTTAATGAGTATTTTGCATATAGAGGTATTTCTTTATTTTATATTTTTATTGAATACATTCCAGAAGTTTTATGCTTGGGTCAATTTTCTGGTAACTTATACATATGTTAGGTAGGGAGGTTAATGCTATAGTAACAATCATAGACTCCCCAATCTCATTTATTTAACAACCAAAAAAGCTCTGAAATTTCAATAGTTTAATACCTGAAAGTTTCTCACTCAGACCACTTCTGCTGTGTGTATTAAGAATCTCTAGCTCAATTGGTGTAGCTCAGTTGGTTAACCATTGACCTATGAACCAGGAGGTCATGGTTCGATTCCCAATCAGGGCATATTCCCTGGTTGCAGGCTTGATTCCCAGTAGAGGACATGCAGGAGGAGCCGATAGATGATTTGACGTTTCTCTCTCTCCCTCTTTGAAATCAATAAAAACACAATAAAAAAGATTATCTAAGGTCTCTAGAGTAGTTCCCTTCAAAGAGGTGACTCAGGAATTCAGACTGGTTTCATCTTGACCTCCATGATTGATGTGGGGGAGAAAGAGCTGGAGGTTGTCCAGAGACTTTTTACTGCTTCAGCTCGTCAACTGCACTCACAATCCATTGGTCAGAACTAGTCGTGTGTTTCCACCAAAGTGCAGTGGGTACTAGCAAATGTGTGTCTGTGCCTCCATTATAAAACAGAGCATCGCTATTGGTATTAATAGAGCATTAAGGCCTACTCCAGAGAAGTGGCTTTGTACTACTACGTCAATTTGGCTTAGCTAGAACTACATTTCCCAGAATCTCCTTTCTCATTGGCTTACAGGTTAATTTTGACCACAGGAGATATTTTCATGAGATGTGGAAGTTAGAAGTGAAACAATAGCCATTAAGTTCAGAAGAAGTAGGCAAAAGCACTGTTGCAGCTCATAGCTTGACCTCCTGGCTCGGTTGGTGTGGGGCAGCAGCCAGCCTGCAGTGCTCCAGCTCCTACTAGACCCTTTTCAGTTTTCTGAGTTCTGAGTCCTGGGTAAGAGGCACACGCAACTCCATGGTGAAGGCCACCAGCTTCTTTTTTAGGTCACATGGGCCATAGAGTTTGGAGATGGTGAGAAGTATTATAGATACAAATCTGCCCCCATGAATTCCAGTCTGCCATTGCTCTTTCCTGCTTCACACCCAGCTTTTCATCCTGACTGCCAGCCCCCCTGACTTACAGTGACTTCAGACCCACTACCAGATGCAGAAGCGCCAGCTTTCCAAAGAGCTGTTCACTATGACTGCATAATAGGAAACCCCACTGTAAATCTCTCAGTCCATGCTATCTATCATAATTTTGCTTCTCTGATAAAGTCAAGTTAATATAAAATAAATGAATATTTTTTTTTTTTTTATAAAACTGGGTCTAATTTTAAGGTATTGTCTTCAGAGAATTTTTATTTTAATATACTGCTGGGAAGATCAGAATCACAAAGAAACATTTGATCTACATTGAAAGAGAAGGAACAGGTTATGGCTTACAGAAAGACAGATAAAATTGTCCAAAGGGAAGATAATTATAAAAACAAAACTAAAAGAACAGTTATGGGAGCAGGGAGCAGCGGCAGAACCTTTTTTCCTATAGATATCAATTTTAGAGGAGAATTTTTGAAAGGATGTGCTGAGGAAATCCGCTCTGTATGCACATTCCCACAGCTGTGAGGAGGGCAACTCTACCTGGACCTGCTTTTACCCCAATAACTGGAGTTAAAAGGAAACAGACTTCAGAAGAAAATCCATATTGAAGTGCAAAAACCAGAATTTTCTGTTAAATTGAGTTAAACTGAATTCAACAACTATTGTAATTTCTGCTCTTAAGCATTTTCTATCTGCATAAAATTTGACTTCTGTGTTTCTTTGTTTGCCGTGTAGTTGACTCCATGTGATATCTTAGCAATCCTGCTGTCGGGAGGAACCTAGGAGAGGCTAAAGTTCACCGATTTCTAGTCTGTGGTTCTGCCCTGAAGACTTGGCCTCGTAAGACACAAAGCACCCTTGTTGGCCAAAGGAAGGGTAACTTGCGGACATCCATCGCCTTCCCCTCAACTTGCATACTCCTGCCCTTCGTGCCAATTACACTCATTACAGGAGGAACTCATTGTCCAATTGCCCTCCTCCAACCTTTCCTCTGATTTCCAAACAAAACAAAGCAATTTCTGCCATACGTCTTCAAGAAACTGTGGCATACTGGAAAAAGGCCACATGAGCAAAGAACTCTATTCATGGTTTGCATGTGATTCAAGCAACTCATTTTTAAAAAAACTTTAAAAAATTACTTTACTGATTAAAGTATCACATATTCGTCATCATCCCCCATTCCCATCCCAACCCCCCCCCCCCACACACACACACATGCCCTCACCCCCCTGTTGCCCATGATCACTGGTTAGGCTCATATGCATGCACACAAGACCTTTGGTTGATCTCTCTTCCTTATCCCCACCCTCCCTTACCTCCCCTCTGAGGTCCGACAGTCTGATTAATGCTGTTCTTGTTCATCGGTCTCTCATGTTCATCATTTTCCCGAGATGAGTGAGCTCACGTGATACTAGAAATACACTTATAAGAACTAAAAATGAGACAAGCAACTCATTTTGATTTCAGCCGTCGGGAGATTTCCTCTCACCTGAGAGAAACTATCATTTGAAGTGCTGCGTGTTAACAACCAGGAAATCCTGGATGATCAAATGCCCTGTGCCCATTTAGTCTATGCTGGGTATTAGACAGTTGGCCAATTAGGGTTTTGACCAATTCTGCATAAATGCTGGGCACAATGTTCCATATGGATTAGCTCAGTGGTTGGCAAACTGTGGCTCAGAAGTACATGCAGCTCTTTGGTCCCTTGAGTGTGGCTCTTCCACAAAAATACCATGTGTGGGCGCGCAAGTACTGTGTGATTGAAACTTCGTGGCCCATGTGCGGAAGTCAGTTTTTGGCTCTCAAAAGAAATTTCAATCATTGTACTGTTGATATTTGGCTCTGTTGACTAATGAGTTTGCCAACCACTGGCTGGATTAGCTCATCAGATTAGTTCAAGTCATCAATATTTTGCCCCTCATGTCTCTCTCTAAGTAAAATAGCAATAATAATAACTTTCATACCAATGGATATGTTATTTAGAAACATGGTATGTAATGAACAAGACACTTAAAGTATCACACGTAAAATAGTTATACAAATCTAATTTTATTAATAATTTATAAATTATACTTATCTGATCATAACATATATTAGAATCATGTGGTGTGTTTTTTCCCCCCCCCCAGCAAATAGAGCAACCCTCTACTTTGAGGGGAAAACCATCTATTGGTGAAATGAGAAGTTCTGGTCTGATAATTGGATAAATTATCCAAGTCTGTAGAAACCTGCCAGTTCAGAGATGATAACTGGATTTGTTTGCAAATTTCTCAAGTTTCACATGCATTTTAGCTCCTGTGCTTGGTTTTAGTCTTCTCTTCTACTAAATGGAATAGCTTTACAATGATTTCAGAGAGAACAAATGAGTGACTAGAAGGGATATAACAAATGAGTGACTAGATGGCTTCAACTGGCCTCAGGGATTTTCTAAATACTGGAATGAGTTGTCAAATTTTGCAAATAGAAACATGGCCTCTCTGCTTCCCATGTATGGTGTGGACGCCACCATTTCATCCATTCAAGTGACTTGCCTGGTTCCTGTGGCATCTATGTTTGTTTCAGATGCCTGGTCCACTCTGTTTTGCACTATAATATGTGTCATGGCATATTGAAAAGGGTCTGTGGGTCAGAATATGCCGCCTGTTATTCCGTGTAACTTTAAGACCAGCTGAAGGAACAGAGCTACTCTACTGCCTAGAGTAGCTCCCTATAGCTACTCTTCCACAAAGCTCTGTCCTCTGCATGTTTAAGCAGCATCTCTTGAGTCTATAATCTGGTATGTCATTATGTCTGTGCAATAATTACTTATTATGTCCCAGTTTACTGCGGGGGGAGGGGGTAAGCTCTTTTCTTCCCAGCATCTGTCATTTACTCCTTTCCCCTAATCATAAGGAAGCCCCAGTCTTCACTTTTGTTGACCCCAGATCCCCAGTCTTTCCACTCATTTTAGTCCCGGGGCATTGCTGTTTGTAATAAAACAACTATAAACTAAAAGAGCATTCAAAAGAATGGATTGTGAGTGAAGAATATGACATATGCACACAGTTCTGACTTGGATGAAATATCTTCCAGATATTATCAACCATCTAGAAACTGCATTCTCATCATCAACAGAAAAAAGTTCAATATTTAAGAAAGTAAGCCCTTTTTTAAACTAACTTTTTAAGGGGAAGAAAATGATAAATTTTACAAGTATACAATTTATTTATATTATAATCTTATATGATACAAACATTTTCTCATCTAAAAATGATATTTTAATTTAAGAAACCTACTTTCATTAAACTATTCAGCATCGACTGATACATTTAACCTTATGTGGATTTTAACAAATAAATAGGAAAAATTTTCCTTAACATCAAATTCAACAATGATTGCATTTAATGTCACTATATAAATATGATAACATTAACTAATACTTGTATAGGTAAAATATTCCAGTTGCATTACAAACATATATGTAACATATAATCAGATGTCAAATTTCTGCATTAATATCTTTGTCATGAATTAATAGCCTGCAAAAATGCCTTTTTTGTTTGCTTTGTTTTGTTCATTTTGCCTTGTAATCTCTTCAGTACTTAGGCAGAAAAGAAAAAGAAGCACAACTGAGAAATATTTTAATTCTGAACAAATAAGCATCTTTTTAGCTGCAATCTTTCAGAACTAAAGAGACTATATGCTGAGAAACAATGAGCTACCACTAACCCAATGTCTTAGTCCTACAAAAAAAGAACTATCTCAGAGCCAGCAAATACTACACAGTTCATCATCTGAAAGACAGGTTGCTCTCATCAGTAAAAATTAATCTATTCTCTTGCTGTTCAGACATCAAAAATATTTGATTTTGTGAGTTAGGTCCCTATACTAGAACATGCTCCATCTACTCCTTTTCTTTTACCTATTCCCCAAACTCTCTGCCTAATTAAAATAGTTATCTAATAATGTTATAACAATGATGGTCTTGGGTGAAAACAATGGCTGCTTTGTTCTACTTAGGTTTTGGTGAAGACATTTAAAAAATAAAATATGTGAGAGGGTTTAAAGTTTTAATAAAGAATTAAGGGTGATTAGTGATGGTGGGATTCTCATACATTTATTGATTGCCTAATAGGTTCAAAGTTCTGTGCTGCCTGCAGATATATATCTCAATCTCTTCGTCTCTGGACCATGGTCCTTCAGCAACTGGTCAAGAAAAATGACTATCATGTCAGAGTGAAGAATTCTCAACTTGGGGAGGGGCTGGGATTAAGGGGGTGACAGGAGATTCAGCGCAAACATTTGTTGATCAAGGTTTCAACAGTTTCTCTCAAAGTCTATATTTTAACAGGGCTGTTCCAAGCATCCTTTCTAATCTGCCTAGAGTAACTGTAAAAATTTTAGGGCCCAATAGCTTAAATGACATCAAAACAACCTCAAAGCTTTAAAAACAGCCATCACAAACCTTGCCCAGACCTTCAACCTTGGTGGTAAGAAGGTCAGAGTAAGATTCTGCAGGCAATTTTTTGTTCTTGGGGGAGCCAGGGCTAAAGGTCAACTTGCAAATAATCTCCCAGACTTGGGTGCCTGTGCCTTGCTCCCTGGCCACACAGTGGTCCCCTAACACTTTCAATATCCCATTTTGCTTTAACACTCTGGAAGTATTATTTCTAAGAATAGCATGGGTATGGCAGGTTATTTTCTCCTTCCACAAATTCTGGTCGCATTCATTTAACATAACTTGGAGAAGAGATTATTATCTTTCTACATTCTGAAAAGCTCTCACAAATACAATTTAAAATATATAATTGATATGCTTCATATTCTTGAGTATTCAATAAAGTTCTTGGATTTTTCCCCTCCCTCCCCAACTGCAGCAATAAAACCACTCAGTTCCTTTTAAGCACAGCAAACATGAATCAAATAGCTTTTACTCCATATTTATAAAATGCCACTATCATAAGTTTCTCAGTATTTCCTGTCATCTTCAATCACTTTCATTTATTAATCTCAATATATTTTAATAGCACACATATGCTCAAAAAAACTTTCCCCTGGGGCTTACTGTAGCTTTTTCTTCCTCAAATCTTTGAAAATCTTAGCCTATACATGATTTACCACATGCTTTTCCCAAGTTTTCTGAAGATCCCCTTCTGTGCTCTCTATTGAGAGCCCCTCTGGATCTGGGAGAAGGCAATCATATCCTGTGATGTCCGCTTGAGGGGCACAGGCTCCCAGCACTAGTTGCTAGAGCCGCAGATCCATTGTGCTGCGTGTTACAAGGAAGGAAACTGCCCTGTGACAGCTACGGTTTGGAAGCATTAACATGTTTCTTTGCAACTCTCATTTTTTAATCTTTCCAGTTATTTCCTATAGTAAAAAACGTAGCCACCCGAGTATGACTTCCTGTATCATTGACCTATGCGCCATAATTAAAAGAAAGCCCAACCAACCGTGACAAAGGTTGCAAATCAGCGTTTAAGACAAAACCGACTCTTTAGGGACTTAGCAAAAGGTGGTTCTCCCTGCACGGCATCTCCTCCAGCCCTGCCTCTCCCTGCCCTCTCTGTCCACGTGAGCAAGTCACTTCATGTTGCATTAAGAATGCATGATGTGTGCTTTCCAGCCGCTGCATTTTGAGTTTGGTTCTTTTCAACCATGAAAACACAGTTATAAATTGTTCCCGGAGCTACACCAGGCAGCATCTTGGCACTTGGTTGTTTTTAACTTCTCAACAATAGGCACTGTTCACTCCCCTCCAGCTCAGTTCTGTATTCAGCGGTCAGGCCGGGCGCTGATGAAAGGCCAGTCACGGCTCTCCCCCATGGTATCAGTGTGGCGGCATGTGATGATTCACATGGGGTGTGTTTGATCCGAGAAAGCCCAGTCTCTGCTTATTCTTCCTTTGTTCTGTCATCTGGGGAGAAAGAGACAGTGTCTTGAGCTGATTTTTCTTTCTCACTCTTTTCCAGAGCTGGTGAGCCACACCGTTTTGGGTTAACATTCCCAAGCACCTACAGGGCTGTCTTGGGATCAAAGAGAATATGTTTCTTCAAAACAGAGAGGATATTTTCAAAGTGCATTTCCATAAACAGAGAAAACAAAGCAAACCCCATCTCTGTGGTTAAGAAACAGGAACCATGGTTCTTTTAAAGCAGCCCTTGCTTGTCACATAATCACCCCCAACACCAGAGTCATTTTAACAACTCCCACAGTCACTTTCAATATTATTTTTACAGATGCTAACAATTTTACACGATGTAGGGGATGATTAGAGCACTGCGATGACAGATAACTAATGACGATCTGCCTTTCCAATGAGTTTAGTTACTCTGATGGCAGAAAATATGAGTTTCTATTTTAAAAAAAGTGCAAAGAGGTCTTTGTATTTTGGCATCCGTGCCTTCCTTCCCCTTTTCGGAGAAGGAGAAGGGTCACACAAGATGGGGAGGGGTTTCTTTATATAAATCCCACGAGCTTGCTCCCAGGAGTCTCTGGGTCTCCCTCACTCAAGGTGGTGAAGGACTCCCCCTCCCTCAGCCCCAGCTCCCTGGACCCACCGACCTGCTCCTTGAGCTCCGCCAGCTGACCCGACAGCTGTTTGACCAGACTCATGGTCGATTCCAACTTCTCCTGCAGGTTCCGAATCTCATTTTGCTCACTGTCACCTTCGTTGCTAACAAGAGACATGGCTCGCATCCGAGGAAACCAGTCCAAGTTCTTCTCCTAAAAGCAAATAAATATTCAGGAACAAGGGTGTAGGTATGGAAGGGAGCCTGAAGACTGTTGATAGGTGTTCATTATTATTAACATATAAATCAAAGATTTTTAGCACTCTTTCTAGCCAGGGCTGGAGAGGGGCTGAGGGTCGGAATGAAATGGGGGTTAAATACTGCTCCTCAGGAGCTGGGGGAATATCTTAAATATTTCAACCAACTTCCTATGGGCTCCTAAGGAGGTCCGGGATACAACACTGAGAACAGCACCCTGCACCCTGCAGGCATTCAATGAATCTTGGTGAATGATGAGGTAGGCTCTGGAGGCTGGGGAAAGGAGATCCAAGTGTGTGGGTGCAGCACAGGCATGAGCTGTTTCTCCTCCCCACATCCCCGGGGCAGAGAAGAGAAAGGGTGGAGGAACAGGAAAGTGGTAAAAGAAATGTTTCAGTTCCAGCCACCCACATGAGTTTACCTCCCACTTCCCCAAGACAAGCTGTAGCTGGGCTCAGGAAGAGGGAAGTGGGAGGGCATGGCCCTAGGTTACTCTGTCTGCTCCCTTTGGAAACATTTTACTACAGAAGGGGTGAGGCTTCAGAGGCAGACTTCCCCAGAGGGCAAAGGCTGGTCCCACTTCCGTTTTTCTAGGCGGACTTGGTGCAGGTATGTGTGCACACGAGTCCCCTTCATTGTCGTAGAGACAAAGGGTTAACCAGATACACCCAGCCCTCTTGGAAACTGCCTGATGGCCCAACATCAGAGAATCGCTGTGCGTTACTTACATTTCATCTGGAATCCTCAAAAAAGCCTGCAATGTAAATCATACTGTCCCCATTTCACAAATGAGGAAACAAGAGACCCCAACAGTTACATTATCCATGTCACAAACTAGGAACAGGGAAAGCTCACATGTGAAGCCTTTAAAGTGGGGTATGTTCCCAACACTGACGAGGTATGTCAGTCTGCATCCTTATTTACCAGTTTCCCTATGTCACCTTCTTCCAACATCCCCAGCAGTGACCTTCCTGCTTAAGATGTTTTCTACTCCCGAAAAGCCCACTACAAAGTGGCCACGAAGACTTTTGCCTGGCAGATTCTTAAAATGAGAGTTCACACAGTATGTTCCTCCCTAAGATACCATGGAAAGGCCCAACATATATATCTCTGCTCTTCTGTCTGATTCTCACCCAGCCCTATCTTTGGTTCTTTTTTCCTTTTTGGTAGTTGTTGTTCTAGTCTGAGAATAGCAAGTTCTTAATAATGCCCTACCCCCCAATGGCAATGAAAAGGAGTGATCAAGGATTAAGAATAAAACATCTTAAAGAGTTTTAAACTGTATTTAAACTGCTATAGCTAATTAGCATTTCAAAAGGAGAAAGGTAACTTATTCTGAAATGCAGAGTGACAGCCAGATTCATTCATTCCATCAATCTTTCCACATCTATTGCCAGGTATTCAGAGATGCAAGTCAGAGAAGACAAGATGTTGCTCTCAAAGACCTTGTGGCTTCAGACAGCTCTCCAAGAATAGTGGACCTATACCAAAATCACCTGGGCTGCTTGTTTAAATTGCAGATTTCAACCTCATCTCCTCTCACCAAATAAGGGGTTGAGCATTGTTCTTTTGTTGCACTAAACTTTAAGAACTGGGGTCTATGAAAGCACAGAAGATAAATGACAACCCCTGGGGTGATGGCAAAATAGAGAAATGGAGTGTAGGGAAAAGAGCTGAAAAAGCTGGTGTGGGGAATGGGAAGTCAAATAGGGGGCGTATTAAATGTCTGCAACTGACAGGATGGACCATGCCTTCTAGTGACTCCAGCAAAGACTATTGGTCACCAATAGCCCAGGTGGGTGTGCAGTGGAGGCAGAGAGCTAGATCAATAGAGAATGGGGTATCCTCTGGAATTGGCATCAAAAAGACTAAGTGTGAGGAGGATAAGGATGACAACAAAAGCAGTGATTGGAATGAGGAGCATGACTGTGGGGACTGGTAGGGGGGGATGGGAAAGTTCTCACACCTGTGCTGCAGGTTCTATAAGCACCGAATCCTTTCAATCATCCAATGAACTTCAGTTCTTTATCTCTTTAGTATGTGGATTAAGTACAGTATTATCTATCATCTGAATTTTACAAATGAAGAAACTGAGGCTAACAAATGTTTTAGTTGGGATCCCAGCCCAGATCTGTATGCATCAGGATTGCTTGGTAAGACTGAAGACTGTGGACAGAACGTGCAACAATAAATTTTAAAATTCAATAAATAGAACAACTTTAGGAAGTAAAAATTCTATGATTAGAGTTCCTGAAATCGAAGAAAATATTGGTGAATTTGGGAAGTTAGTATTTAATGGTTACAGAGTTTTATTTGGGGGAAGATGAAAATTCTCTGGAAATGGATGGTGGTGATGATTGCATAAAAATGTAAATGTACTTATTGCCACAAAACTGTGCACTTAAAAATGGTTAATTTTATGTCATGCATATTTTACTATAATTAAAAAAAATCACTGTATTTTCAGAGGATAATTTTCAGGATGAATCATGCCAAAGGCCTTAAAGTCATCTCGGGGGAGGTCAGTGATAGGGTGGATTTGGGGGGGGGGGGCGGTCTATGGGCCGCCATGGACCAAAATCTGTGATGAATGTACAGGAGGGACCAGGCGGTATTGGAGGATAGCGATGTGGAGGCTTGGAAAATGTATTTCATGTGAGGGTGAAGGGGTGGTGATGGGCAGAGTCTGCTGACTCTTCTAAGGCCCTTAGTGTCGAGGGGTTGGGAAGATAGGCTATTGCCACCAGCTGGTTAAAAGAGAAGGCACATCTCTTGGGAGAACCAAGAAGGCAGCAATTGAGAGGAGAGTTGGTCTACAAAGGCAGACTCTGGGGGCTGATGGGACAGAAGGGGCTGAGCCTGGGGAGAGAAGGTACCAGGTGATATAGTGATACCCAAGGTGCGGATGGTGAAAACATCAATTTTCAGAAAGTTTCCAAAAGAAACAGAGGCAAAATATTCTCAAGCTTAGAGAAAGATAGTAACTGAGCTAAAGAGAACATGGGTGAGGTTTCATGACATGACCTGCAGAGATTACTGTATTCCTGAGTCTCTGGCTCTTGAGGAAACAACCAGCTCTTGGGGGACCATCACCCCATCCTCTGGACCACAGGACTCTCTTTTCTTGCACATTTTTCTTCTTTTGTTCCTTTGTTTACCCCTTCATTTACTACTTCTTAGTGTGTTTTCTATGTCTGTGCTGGTCACTGGGAAAACAATAGTGAACAAACCCCAGCTCATTCTCATGCTTATGGAAGGAGACTTCAAAGAATGAAAAACACAACAGCCTCTGGGTAGGGAGGGCATGTATGGGAGTGGGAGAGGGGGTTGGTAAGATATGTGCACATATAGCCGAAACCGGTTTGGCTCAGTGGTAGAGCGTTGGTCTGCGAACTGAAGGGTCCCAGGTTAGATTCCGGTCAAGGGCATGTACATTGGTTGTCGGCACATCCCTGGTAGGGGGTGTGCAAGAGGCAGCTGGTCAATGTTTCTAGCTCTCTATCTCTCTCCCTTCCTCCTCTTTGTAAAATATCAATAAAATATATTAAAAAAAGATATGTACACATATAATACCTTAATAAAAAAAAAGAAGAAAAATAACAGAGAGCTGTGCTTAGGGGTCGGATAGGAAAGTACATGACAGACACACTCGCTCATCCTTTCTTTTAGTCCCTAAAACTCATTCTCTCTTTTAATCCTCTTTTGGTTTTTCTCATCTTTCTTTCACTGCTTGTATCTTTCTGTTTTTGTTGTCTGCTTGTTTCTCAGTCTTTTCCTTCCTACTTTTGTGCATTTTGTTTCATTCCTCCCTTCCTCTGTATATCAACTGACCATAATCTGAAAGTAAGGGGAAAAAAGTGTAATTATGATTCTTTCCCCATATCAAATGCTTTGTGGTTTCTTTTCTTGGTTTTTAAAGAACTTGACTTGAATATCTTACATCTCTCACTGAAATGGAAAACACACACACACACCAACCTAAATTGTTTCTGTTCTTTTCCCCCCCACATAAAGCCAGTCTTTTAAAGCTAATTTCTTCAAATTAGTGTAGAAAGTACATCCTTTTCACCAAAATTAAGTTGAATACAACAGTTTTCTTGGAATAAATGCTGCATGTGCTTTTTCATTCAAAGCAGCTCCCTATTAAATACCCCAAGGTTTCTCTCTCATCTTATGGCACCTTGAGCAGACTCCATGCAGGGCTCAGTCTGAGCAGGTGAGAAAGTTGAGACCAGGACTTGAACCTGAGCCAGAACCTGAGCCAGAACAGTGGCCAGTACACAGGACCCCACTTCCTCACCAGGCCGACTTGTATGTGTCTGCCCTCTAGCAAAGCAGTTAGATCTGATTTGTTACTTCTCGGTTACTCATACATGCTTGTGTGCATCTCGTGATCATGATGAGCAGATTCCCATGCTGACTTGGGTTAGTCAGTATGAAATCATTTTCTTATTTCACCAGGAATGAAAATATTTTACCACAGGGTGGTACATAGCCAGGGAAGTTGCAGATTGACTGTTAGACTCTGAGGCTGGAATGTGAGATCTCAAAGTTTTGGTGGGTGGAAATTCAGAGCTTCTCAAGGTTTCTCAAATGCAACTGGTCATGTCTCTGAAAAGGGACACAGGGCTTACTAAGCACACCCCTATTGGTCTCCCTGAATTCTAACAATAATGTTCCTTTCAAGATGACTAGAAGATGAAGAGATCGGAGTGCAAAAATCTTTCAAATAGTCCCTCCAGCAGTCGGATCAAGTTTACTTATTTAATTATGCAGTTATTCAATAAAATGATTAGGTTGTCAGTGTCAGTCAAAGCTTAGCCTGTTTTGTTTTCATGCGTGATTCTTCAATGTGATGCTCCATTTATGGGAGAGGCAATATAGTATAATTGAGTCAGGACACTAGGTTCTGGTTTTAGCTCAGCCAAAATCTCGTTATGTGATAGAAGAGGGAGA